GACTTCATAAGGAGAACGCCCATTATGTAGCTTCGAGGGAGTGCGGTTAATAACATACGCAGCGGTGAGTATAGCTTCTCCCCAAAAATAAATTGGTAAACCAGCCTGAAACATTAAGGAACGCGCAACGTTGAGGATGTGACGATGCTTACGTTCAACCCGTCCATTTTGTTGCGGTGTACCAACGCAAGAGGTTTGATGAAGAATACCCTTGCTTGAAAAAAAATTCGCTAAACACATAAACTCTGTACCGTTGTCACTTCGTACCGTCTTAACTCTCTTATCAAATTGACGTTCGGAGTAAGCACAAAAATTTTCCATTACTTTCCGAACTTCAGACTTTTCAAGAAGAAGATGCGTCCAAACGGACCGTGAAAAATCGTCAACAATCGTCAAAAAATAAACTGCTCCACAAGAAGATGCAACACGATATGGTCCCCAAACGTCAACGTGAATTAATTCAAAACACTCCTTAGTTTTATTATTACTATCATAAAAAACATCTCTTGTTTGCTTAGCCCGAAAACAAACGTCACAAGGACTAGGACTAGCAGAGTTTGAAACACCAGAAAAAACGGGTAAAGAAGAAAGCACTGAAAACGCAGGATGTCCCAACCGCTGATGCCATAAAGCTCGATCAACTGAAGCTGCCACTCTAGTCACATTAGCTGTTGCTACATCCGTTAAATAGTAAACCCCATCACGCTCTTTCCCGGCTCCAATCAGAGTCCTCGTAGAACGGTCCTGTAAAATACAAAGAGTATCGGTAAATAACGCAAAACAATTCTTCAATTGCTTGAGAATCTTCGAAACCGAAATTAAGGAACAATTCAGATTAGGCACATAAAGAACATCCAAAAGAGATACACGATCTGTGAGATGTAGAGTGCCCTTCTGTTTTGAAAAGGTGATACTACCATCAGCAAACCCAACCGAGCAAGATGGTGTATCAACCATGTTCGTGAGAAGAGAGATATTTCCAGTCATGTGATGGGAGGCTCCTGTATCAATAATCACATCACCAAAAATCTTACCAGAAAGCTTATCAGGGTTGCTTTTCAATTTTTCGTTAGCCACCAAAGAAATAGCTTTCCACTGCTCCGGAGAAAAATCCGAGAAAGAGACGTTGGGAAGAGTAGTGTGAGCCGCAACTGCTTGACCGCGACCTCTACCAATGCCTCTACCACGACCCCGACCAGCAGCTCCTCCTCTACCACCCGAGCGATTGTTGCGTTCCGTCATCCACTCCGGGTATCCAATCAACTGCCAGCAAAATGCTTTCTCATGGCCTGTACGACCGCAATTGGAACAGAGGAGACTACGTTCCCGACCCGAAGACTCGATACGTTGTTCTCCAGCGGGTGAGCCAGAAGAAAAAGAGTCACGTCGAGCAACAAAACCAACCGCATCCTGCTGTTGTTCACGAGACTTAGCTGCAAAATTCCTCTGTTCTTCACGGATGGCACGAGAGTAAGCTTCTTCCAAAGAAGGAGAAGGAGTGGCGTCAGTGATAGCATGAATCACATTCGCAAACCGGGATTCATCAAGTCCCATGGCAAACTGATTGACTTTCTCTTCCTCTCTCCTTAGCAATTGTTGTGTAAACTTCACACGTACAACCACCACACGAACAAACAGGGAGAGGCTTGTATGTGTATAACTCGTCCCATAGCTTGGCAATTTTCCCGTAATAATCAATTACGGTCTGACCATCTTGGCGACAAAGAGCAATCTGAGATCGGAGATGACTAACCCGAACCTTATTGCCAATAGAAAAACGCTGCCTCAAATTTTCCCAAAGCTCATGAGCATTGGTGAGAAACGAGACAGTGGATCGTACACTGGGAGTGATAGATGTACGCAACCAACCAATAACCATGGAGTTCACCGAAGTCCATGATTCCAATTCAGAGCCAGCAACCGCCGGTTTCTTCAAAGTACCATCAATAAACCCAATCTTTTTCTTCGCACGAAGAGAATTCAGCATCTCGGCAGCCCATTCATTATAATTTTCACCGGTCAAGACAACCGCCGAAATCATAGCGCCTGGATTGTCAACTGAGAACAGAGAATACGGAGTCACGCTCATGCTTTCCCCTCCACTCGTCGAAGCCGAAGTACCGGTGGAGAGTGCTCCGGATGTTGAGCTAATGAGAGATCCATCGGTGGCCATGACTTCAGACGATTAAAACAGAGGAGAGAAATAAAATAGGGATAAGAAAAAAAACAGATTCAACCGAATCAAAAGAAACAGATCTCTTTGTAGAGAAACAAGAACAAGAACAAAAATTAATTGATCAAAAACTGGTTCAGGATTTGCTCTGCTACCATGTAGAATAAAGAGAATACGTGTGTGTGTTTATTCATCGACGGCGTTACAACATATATATACATATCGTAAACCCTAAAGAAGACTTGCTCGACATGTAAGGCCTATAAGACATAAGACGAAGCCCATTACGGCCCAATAATAAAATGTCTGATAATAACACTATAGGGCATTCGAAGAAAGAAAGCATAGCTAATAGCCAAAGAGGTATGGAACACACAGATCCGTTCGACTTTTTCGTTGTTTATATTAATCGCTCTTAATAAACATTTTAAGCGATGTATACTACAAATCAAAATGGAATGGGAGAGCCTCCGAACCACACTTGGATAGAGCATTTAGTTAAAATCGGTTTTTGTATCGGACTTGTTCACCCCTTCTAGTCGAGTAGTCGTTGTCGTTTAAGGCGCCTTTAATCTTTTTCCTTGTAACAGAAATGGAAATTTTAGCAAAAAAAAAAAAAGGGTTGGGAGCATTTATTTGAAAAGATTTATTGATTGTATTAAAGTTTGTCAGATTTAAGATCCAGAAATGTATATAAATGACACGAATCCCATAATGTAATGGATTTATGTATATTAAAATGTTACAATATTCGAAGAATATTTAATGCTTCATATTCTTCAGTTTCTTTTTACTCATTTTCTGTATATTGCTTCGATTGATGAGATGGATTGTACAAGTGTAATTTCCTCTTATCATGACATCTCAAATATTCTTGCAAGCTTTAAAGATTAAAAAACCTTTGTTTTATCTTGTTTCCTCGATCTTCCACAACATGATTTGTAGAAATATATCTGACTGGAATTATCGAGAAAACTACCTTTTCGAAGCATCAAACGAATATAGAAGACAAGAAAGGGCAATGGGAATAATTTCCCTTATCTTAAGGGAAAAAAAACAGAAAAAAATTAGTATAAGTGTATAAGTCTTTTGTTATATAGCTTTCGGAGAAAAAAACAATAACTTAAAAATGAAGATTCCAACATTAGTACATTAGAAAGAAAAAGAAAAAAAACTATATGGAGAAGCTAGCTCAAGACCTTAAAGGCTTTAACCAACAAAAAAAGACTACTGTAGACTAATTCCAAATTTTACATTTGTCATATGAATAATGTGACAACTAAACGTGTACTTCAACTAAATTCAATTTTTATCTCAATTAATCGAGCCAAACCACTGGGTTTTTACAAAGAAGCAACTTGATTTATTTTAACTCAAATACTTTTTATAAGTAGGAATGATATAACAAATTGATTATTAGTACTAAGCTATTGGCATATATATAGGGGGAACATGCTGCCCAATACTTGAATCTTTTTGAAACTTGAAGTTGCTTTGTGTGCTAAGTCATGATTAATTAGTAAAATTTATTTATTTGTATTATTGTTGTTTTTATAATTTATTGTCATGAGCTAATAATGTCGGTTGGATTTGACATCACTTTACAATACCTTTCTTGTTACCAAAATTACATTATGAGTAAATGAATCCTCCTCCTTGGAAGTGCTATTTTTTCAGTCCTTTTTGAATTTTTTTCCTCCACAATGGAAAAAGAAACAATTTTAAAAACAAGAAAAACACATGTGAGCTTCTCCGTTTCTTCTTTTGTTTTCTTTCTCTTTTCCGATTAGAGAGTTTTATTCAGTCAAATTACTAATTATGTTAAAGGCGTATTTCCTGAAGTGTTCTTAATTAATGATAAGAGTTGTATCACTAGAATAGTATTTTGGGGAAAGTACTGAATTGTGATTGGAGAAATTAAAGGGATATATTACATCTATATTAAGTTTTGTCAACAAAGTTTACCTGTCATTTTTCTCCATTTTCACACAGATGAAAGTCGAATTCGAGCACATCAAATACATAGTGTTTAATTTCTCCAATCACATGGGACTGAATCACCTAGGTGTGAGATCCTAAGCAGTGGCTTAATTATTAAATCTTGACTTGGAAAAACATAGTGTTTTTATGGTATTCGAGGGTATTCCTCATATTTGGTGGTATTTGAGGGTACTATACTACTATATGAGAAAAGTAAACTATGCATGCAAATAATAACAATGAGTTTTTTTTTTTTTTTTGGCATCATTTATGCACGTAATCACTAATCATTTATCAATATGTCGCTCATCCTTATATTATCATAAGTCAAACTCGATTATCCGTCTTTTTATTCTTACGTTATAGATACTTAATAAAACTGCATATACATTAACTGATACAGTATGTTTTTGATTAAAACGAAAGGAAAAAAAAAAACAAGATCTAGATATATATTTTTGATGAAAAAATAAATCAGCTAGGGTTTGTGCAAACTTTTTTCTCCAGAAGAAATTTGATGTCGAGTTGTATATTCAGTGGGTCATTTGACTTTAGGTAAAATGTAATAATTCCCTAAGCTTTTCGTACACTAACATGACCAAAGAGGATCTCGATCCTCTATGGTTGGGAGAATTAAATAATAATATATTTTCATGATAAAGAGCATCAAAAATCGAATTTTCAGTCCACTAATTATATCAAAATTCCTATAAAATTGACATCATATAAAAGAATCTTCTAACCGGGTCAAGCATTTGAAATTAAATTATTAAATTTGAACACTCACATAAAACAGGTAAAGACAACAGACAAGTCATTTTCAATACAGAACAAATAAATAACCAAAAATAAATACAGTAATTTATTAAAATTTACATTCTTCTAAAATATATCTGTTTTATTGTTATTGTTTTGATGCAATATACAATACAATTAATGATCAACTAGAATTATAATTTCTTATAAAGAAAATTAAAAATATTGAACCCTTCGTCGTAAGAGTCCTTCCTTCACCAGAAAAAGGAAGAAGAAGTTGTTGAGTATTGCAAAAGAGGCTGTTGCACCACAAAGCTGCTCACATAAGCTTCCTCTTTCTCATGCAGCCCATCCAATTTCTGCCACCATTATTTTAATACATAAGAGATTAAATTTTATTAATGACAACATATTTGACCACTATAATATACTAGAGATTAGATTTTTATGAAAATACTTTTTCTTTAGCCGTGAATTAGTGAAGCTCTACGTGATTTTGTTTCATATTGAATTCCGAAGTTTTTTTTAATTCCGAAGTTTTAGTATCGTATGAAATTTTTTACCGTCTATAATTTACACACATTATCAAATTTAAACCTGAGTTATGATACGACCACGATACAAAGATCATCCTTTTCTTTTACGTTAGGTAGTTTGATTAAAAAACATTGTAGAAAAAACCTAGTCTTTTGAATATGATTTACCCAAAGCTCGGAGTCGTCATCTTCAATGTTGGGGATTTCTACAACTTCATCATTGCGTGCGAATCTACCGCGTATTCGAGGTCTACTATCCGCCAATGTTTTCCGGCATGCATACTTTATTTCCATACAACAACAAAAAAAGAGTTTATAATCAAAACCTTCAAATTTTGAAAATGTAATAAACATTGTTACCTTTATAGTTTTGGTAAAGTTTCTTTGGTTTCGTTTAGCTCTGTACTTTGAGATTTTCTCTTTACGTTCTTCTGCACTGTAACGTCCCACCTTGAAGTTCTGTTCCTCGGATAACGGCACCGTTGAGTTCTCCGACGATCGCTGCATTTCGAAATTGTTCTGAAAACAAAAACGTTTAGTAAAAATTACAGTGCAGAGTAAAAGAAAAAAAACAGAGCAAAAAATAAAATAGAGACCTGCAAATCTCCGGTGCTGTATACTCGTCGCATCTGACCGGAAAAGAAAGCATTTTCCGGCGAGCTCAAGTTATTGTAATTAAGATTTGAAGAATCTATCATCGGAATGTTGAACGGAACCTGGTTTGGTTTCCCCTGGACCGAATTGCTGCTAAAGCTTCTCTGCATATATCTCCCTGCATTCTCAATGGCACTGTAGCTTCGTGCCATTGATGCCGTCTGATTATGGCCGTCGAAGAACTTCTCTGTTTTGACGACGTCGGAGATTTGGAAATCTGAGAAATTTGGATATAATCCGGTGGGGATTTGTTGAGAGAGGGTTAGGGTTCCAAGAAGATCACTTGGAGGAGATGAAGAGAGAATGTTTTGAGGGGTAAAATGGTCAAAAATGTTGAGTGATTCATCAACAGAGTAAAGTTCATTGTTACGGAACAAATCTGTAGTTGTTGTTGTGTCTGAAGAAAACATTTCTGGACTAGAATTTCGGAATATTGAAGAAGAAGATGAAGAAGAACCATCAAAGATATAAAGATCTGAAGCAGAATCCATTTTTTTGAAGTGATTAACAAACACAAACAAGTAAAAAAAAAAAAAAAAAAACTCAGTTTATGTTCTGTCTCTGTAGTAACACTCTAGTGATGTGTTTTTGTATTGCCAGAAATGGCAAAAGTATAACTTTCGAAAATTTTCCAAAAAAGATTTTTTTCTTCTTTGGTTTTTGAGTTTCTCTGTTTCAGAACCAAGACATGACAGGTGAAGTTTCTTTTGTCTGGTGGGCGATGTGAATTTATAACGGCGGAAAGTTTTGAATTTTATTAATATGTCCTTAAAGTTTATTCATTTTATGGATTTATTTATAATGTTTTGTATTCTTACATTTTTAACCCCAAATGCTTACGTCCAAATAGTTTAATTTAGAATCTACTTGGTCTCTCTGTCTTTCTGATGTATGATGTGAGCAAAAGCTCCTTTTTGGTTGTTGTTATATTACTATTCAAATCTTACGTTTTAGAATCAATTCCGCCATTTGCATTGTTGTTGAAAATGTACTTTTAGAGTATATAAATAAAGTGTTGTTGAAAATATTCGAGAGAATTTCTTTTTTCAATCAACATTTTGTTTATTTGCAGCTACTATTTAAAAAATAAATGATTTATTTAATTCTACACATGGACCCTTCGCCTTATTAAGAGTCTTTCACGAGAAAGAAGAAGAAGTTGTGTATTTCGAATGAGACTGTTGCACAACAAAGATGCTCACAAAAGCATCCTCTTCTCATTAGTTTGGTCACAAAGGTCAATATTCTCTCCATCGTCGAATATGAGAATTTTGCGGTAATATGGATCATTTAGTATATATATGTAGATTGTACATTAGCAATATAGAAGCTGAAATGTGTTTAATTAAACCCTGACCCTTCAAAGCTTTAAAACCTATGAGACAACTAGGCTGCCTACAATCGAAAAGAATCTTTGTTTAGTTTTGCATCAGGAATTTCAAATTCGAAGCTGCATTAGAGAATTTGGTCCAACTAGGATCACACATGTGTTCTAGTCTGGATTCGGAACACTACTATTCCTTTATATGATGTTTGGGGTACACCATGCTACACAATGAAAAGTGACTTTAAAGTTTAAACTGAACCACCAATCATACAATGTATTATAGGTTCAATCGTCAGCAATATACCATCCCGCTGCCATCATGCGTTCAAACTCTGGTTAGTTTTTATATCCGATACGGACGTCACGCTTTACGTTTTGATAGCTCATCCCAAGTCGATTTCGTCAGCTTCCACCTTAGGCCAGAAAAAAAAAAAACTGATAGGTTAAGTGCATGTACATATTGTATGAGCTAGCATGAGCAGGACCAGACACGCACCCTAGCTTAAATGCCAAAAGAGCCTAGATTCATGAGACTAGCTGCAACTTGTAAGTGATCATATATAAAAAGTCAGACAAACCCCTTAAGCATAACGGCAACATACTCTCAATTTGGTCCTTTTCTTTTTCTTGTTCATTATTTTTCTTAAAAGTAGTATTAAATGGAATTTCAAATTTAAAAAAGGTTAAATTGTCAAATGAATACTCCCTCTGTATCATAAAAAATGATTTTTGAGGTTTTATTTTTGTATCAAAAAGATTGATTTTCTGTAAATTTTTATCAATTAATGTTAATAAAATGTGAATTTCAAGAATCATTAATTGAGAATTTTAAAATTTGATGAATTACTATTGGTTAATAGCTATGAGAAAGAGTGATATGAATAAATAATGCATTTATAACTAAACATTAAATATTTTTCTTAATTGGGGTGAAAACTCTATAAAATCAATCTTTTTGATACATAAGGAGTATTTATTATTCTGGAATTTCGGCATTTCCAATGGGTCAAAGAGTTTTCATTCAACCAATGAAAACTCGAAAAGAGCGAAATTCAAGTCAAGACATTAAATTTAGAAAAAAAAACCAAAAAAAGGGAAATAAAACAAAAAAAAAGGAAAGAAAGAGAAAAAGAGAAAAATAAGTTTGTAACGTTAGTTTGTTACCAAACTAAGCAAAGAAAAAACATTGAATGTTTAGTTGATTTTGTTACCAATTTCGATATTTTTTTGGGGAATAAATTTCATAGTTTGTTTTGTGGGGGTATTTAGCGAATTTCTGGTGAAGAGATTTGTGTTTTTGATCGTGGTAAATTATCAAAATTATGGCGGGTTCGCAGGATAAGCTTGATAAGATGCAACTCCGGCAAAGTTACCGGAATTTATGGCACTCCGATCTCATGAGCACCGTCTCGGCGGATACTCCTTGTAATTATCTCTCGCTATATGTATTCGAACGTTTATTTTTATTTGGTTAGAGAATTGATCGAATAATTCTTGGTTATTTTTCTTCTTAATTTGGTTTCTGCAGATTGTTTCTTCTCGTGTTTGTGGTAAGTGGTTCATGTTCATCACTATCGATTTCATTAAAACTTTTGTTATGTGACCTTGTTGATAATAGATCAAGAAATAGAGTTGTAACAATTCTTATCAAAATCTTGTGTTATTATTGGATCACTGATTTTAAAATTTTGTTAAAATCTTGTTTTCAACTTTTAATGATTTCTATATAACAGTTAAATCCGATGCTATTCAATATCTAATTTCTCTTTGCATTTTAACAACATTTGTTATCATATTGGAGTTATTGAACCAAATGATGAACATGTTTTTGTCACTGAATGATTTTGGTTCACATCTAAATCTGCTATTCATGATGATTGTAGTGGACCTTGCGTTTCATACTTACTTCGGAAAAGAGCACTTTACAATGACATGTCAAGGTATTGAATTCTACTATCTGTAGAGTCGAACAATGAGATTTGTTTCTTCTGTTTCTCATAAATAATGTTATTGTGTTGTTTTTGTTTTGTGAAGGTACACTTGTTGTGGTGGTTACATGCCATGTAGTGGTAAGTGTGGAGAAAGCAAGTGCCCTCAATTTTGTCTTGCCACTGAGGTACATAATAAAGCCCTTAATGTTCATTTCGATGAACAAAATGATATGACTTGTGATACAATCTTTAATGTCTTGTGATAGAATCTTTCTCCTATAAATCTTTATTTTTATTTTGTTAAGATTTCACTCTTTTTATGATCTTGTGATTTTGACATTTCTTTAGGTGTGTCTCTGTTTCGGGAACTCTGTGGCATCTACTCGTTTTATGCTGCAAGATGAATTCAACATCCATATAACAAAATGCGACAATTGCATAATTGTACTCCCTAGTTTTCCCTCTTTGTTCTCACTTTCCGACGAATAAATGTTTGTGTGTTAACATCTTTCCCATCTTCTTTCGTTGTTTTGCAGGGATTTATGTTCTGCCTCAACCAAATCGCTTGCATTTTCTCTCTTGTCGCTTGCATTGTAGGAAGTGATGAACTCTCTGAAGCTTCTCAGCTTCTTTCTTGTTTGGCGGATATGGTCTATTGCACGTATGTATAATCCCTTCCTCGATTTCCATGTCGCTGACATGCTTTCGCTACATTAAATATAGCCAAACGGCTCATACCAAATGTTTATTATTGCTGATTCTGTATTTTGGTCTTGATTTTCAGGGTTTGTGCGTGTATGCAGGTATGCAAATCAAAATTTTCAAACATCTTTTATTTTTAGTATCCCAAAAACCAATCACTTTTTGTTTGCTTGCAGACACAACACAAGATTGAGATGGACAAAAGAGATGGTTTGATTAGTCCTCAACCAATGTCAGTGCCACCGGCTCAGCAAATGTCTCGCATTGATCAACCAGTCCCTCCATATGCCGGTTACCCTCCAGCTACTGGCTATCCCCAGCATTACTATCCACAGCCTGGCCATGGTTACCCTCCTGCTCCAGGCTATCCACCTCCCGGTTACGGTTACCCTCCTGCACCGAGCTATCCGCCAGCTCCGGGATATCCACCAGCACCTGGATATCCCTCAAAGTAAGAACGTTAACTGATATCTCAATCTTCCAATCAAAGTTTTATTATCATACTTGGTATGTTGTGATTACTTTGCAAGTATATTGTCCGATTTGTTGTCTCATCCATTTTTCTCTTAGATCTAATGAACCGTTAACTCTAGAGATCCATATATATTAGTTGTGGACTTGGTTTATGATATCTATGTTAAAATTTATACGTTCCAGTAATGTTTTTCTCTAATTCCAAAGATTTGTCGGTCTACCGAACCGGTTAAGGTATTAACGATTGTTAACTTTTGCAAACAATGGTACGTTCCACCGTGGATCCGATCCATTGGAGGATGAGCTCTTGAGTAATCAAAATAAATAATGACAATTCGTGACACTAAAATATATAGTTAGTGCTAATTATTCGAGCATCCTTTTTCTTGCCTTTAGCCTTTCTAGTCAAAGAGGGTCAAATCCCACCATATATTAGTTAATTTTGCCGGATATATTAATTACTTAAAAGAGAGATTTCCCATTTTTGTTTGAAAATACATTCTTTTTGTCAATGTTAAAGACTCAAATTATTGCAAATTGATCTTCAAAATTAAACAGTATTCTTATTAGACTAGTAACATGTCTACCAAATACTACTCTTTTTTCTACAATTTCCTCAAAACACTACTTGTGGTCATCCTCTTCATACAACTAAATTTATGTTCCATGTGAATATATATAATAAATTCATGTTTTATCATACCCGACTTTCTAAAAGCTTCAAAAATTAGTATAAGTTTTCGGTATAAGATTTTTACATATACCTAAAGAACGTTTTATTATATATTAACAAAATGGTATTTTCTAAGGAAACAACAAAGTAATAGTTTGTGTTACTCTAAAGAAGAAGAGAAAAAGAAAGTCATTACATTACTTAGTGTCACAACTAAGTAACATTTTTGGTTCGCATAGTTCATCGTTTGGTTTCAAAAAAATTCTCCTTCTTTCATTTTTTATAACTCTAGTATTCTACTCTATAACTCTACAATATTAGTATCATTTATCAATAGAAGCAATTATCATTTTCTTAGAAAAAAGGTCTTTGTTACTTTGATGGTGTAATACTAACCGAAAGCTTAAAATGATTAGAAGCGTGTGGGGCTTTTCCTAATTGGGGGTTTGAAAAATAGGCACAAACGCAGACAATCCTACGAACGCCACGTGGCTACAGCTGAGCATATTCCACTTAAGGAGAAGTCTTCTTTGCTTAACGTTTGGTCATCTCTCTGTGGACTATCCATTTCTAATTTCTTTTTCCTCCAACGATTCTAATTCGTTAAGACTATGTGGTCTTGAAAATCTAAAATAATATGATGATATCTTCAAAATCATATCTAATCATATACCTAACTTGGATCATGATCATGATCAGGATTCAGGAAACTACTATATGTAAAAATAAATTTGTATCTACGAGTTAAATGGTCAAACGCAAAAACTTCATAGTATTTTAAAAAAATAAAAAAGACCTCAACGTAAAGAAAATCCTCATGTGAATTTGGTTACATGGAGCGTTATTTGAGATTTTTTATAACTTGTCGTCTTTGAGGATATATAGTATAATGGAGTACAATAATTGCAATAAAAATCAGTTTTTATTTGATACAGGCGTTGCTTTAATTTTTTTTTTTTTTTTTTGCAGCTGCGTTGTCTAATTAAATAATCTTTAGTTCATGTAAAACGTAAAAAAAAAAAATTGGCTAGTTAACGTAATTTATGTTTTAAAACTTGAAATGGCTAGTTATTACCAATTGTTAGAATTGATCTTTTATCAATAAACTGCAATTCCATTTTTGGTAAGTAAAGGAATCAAGTAAAATATTAATATCAGGTCGACAAAGGTTCCAAGAATGGTCAAACTGAAAGTATGACTATCTTGTCAATTTGTGATAAATTTTTATTATTTCACTCCCTCCAAAGTTGGAGTTAAAAAAGTCTATAAATGGTAAATTAAGATTTCCATTTCATTTCTTTTTTTTCTCCTCATCGGATAATACAAATTACCTTCTTCTAATTTACTAAGCACCACCACCTATAATTTATTTTTATTTTTATTTTTGGTTTAATGTTAAACTCCACCTATAATTTATATTTACATATAACCACTCAACTAAAGATTAAACCAAAAATAAAAACACAAAAAAAATAAGAAAGAAATTATTTTCCCATTTGCAGAAACTAATTCCACTAAAAAAAGAAAAAGAAAAAAAGAAGATTCTAAGTTGATTCTGCGAGAAGTTCAGATTCAGACCAAACTCGTTGGTTAAAAGCAACTTGTAACTCATCAGGAATAAACGGCGTTCTACAAAGTGGACACGTCATCTGATTATAACCCATCATCCAACGGTCCAAACAGCTCCGATGAAATATGTGTTGGCAATTCGTCAGCCGTCGGATCTCGTCTTCGTTCTCGAACTCGTGGAGGCACACCGCGCAGCAATCTGATCCGGATCCGAATCCGGGTCGGTTCAGCTCCGAGAATCTGATAACGGGTAAGATTTCTCCGGCTAGCCTCGCCGCTACTGGAATGAAAAATGAGCTTTCTTGGAGATGATGTGCTGCCGTGGACATAGACGGTGGTTCCGGCCATGATGATGACGATGAAACCGGGTCGGATTCGAGGAAGTCGGGTAGACCCAATATTCGAAAACCAGTGTCTATGAGTGTTCGGATTAAGCCTAAGAGAGAGAGTAAGTGAAGGAAGATTCTTGGGAGGAGGAGCTCAGTGTATCCTACCGGATAACCCATGGCTTCGCCGTTAGAGAGAGAAAGCTTAAGAAATAGAGAGAGAGGCGTTTAGAATTGGTAAGGAGAGAAAAAAGGTAGAGAAGAGTGGGATATATATACACGTGGGTCAGTGATATATGTGTATATATGTTAGTTATTACATGCTTACATAATTAATTAGTAACTAACCTCCTAATAATAGGTTTTTTATATATATTAATATACAAATAGTTAAATACTAATAATATACAAATGCCGTATTTATCATCACTTGTCACTTGATTTTCGTTATGTTGACACAAAAATAATTCGACATTTAGGCAAAACTCATATATATGGTGTTAAATCTAAATATGTTTTAGATAAGTTTTTCCCAGTTTTCATGTTTGTTTATCCCATTTAATTATCCAATATTCTAATTTGAATAAATTTTATACATGAATACAATAGCATAAATATATGTAATGAATGAAAATTACGACCTACCAAAGATTATTAATTATACATCAATTGTTAGAGTTGGAAAAATTATCTTTCTTATCTTTTTTTTTTTGTTGAAGACGAATTTATCTTTGTCTATATCATTATATGCCAAACTAATCAGATTCGTAATAAAATTAAACTAACAAAAACATTTGGAGAAAAAGCAAAGATGATAATAGAAGGTATAAAATTCAAGAAAATGTACAGAAGAAAACATGAAGGTGGGGACAAACTGGTTTAAATGGTTTATTGACAAAAGAAAAAAGAGATTTAAATGGTTTCAGTTGGTTCCACGAATCAAAGTTACAGTAGCATAAATTTTGGAAATTATAAGAAGACATAACAAAAAAGATGGAGCCGACAACGGTTTTGTTTTTAGGCTTCATTTTAAGTGCAATTTCAACATCATATTTGTCTTTGTCCCTCATATTTTTATAATTATAATACCAACTTATATGTACATATTTTAGATTTACACATGTCTAAATAAATTAGCGACTATACAAGACTTTAGATTATGAATCTGTGGTGTTCAAATTTTCCTTAGTATACAACATTAATGTTTTTACACATTATTGATGTATATATGTGTAGCCGCACACGACAAATAAATGTGACGTGAAGACAGATTGTTCGGTTCACTTCAATTCATTTTCAATACGTCTATTGATTTGACTATATTTTATTTCAATTAACGAAAAAATAAAATTGATTTCGAAACGATAATACATGAACAACAGTATTATTAAAGACTAAAGAGTAAAGACAACAAGATTAAAAATAATTAGGAAAATTGTGCTCAATAGCTTAAATAGACGCAATATCAAGGATATCTGGTTGGAGTGAATTTCTAAAGAGAAAAAGAGTGGAACTTTATTTGTTACTCAATGTGTGTGCCAAAGAAAAGAAAAAAGGGGACTTTATTTTTGAGATTTACCCAAAATGACTCAAATCTTAGCAAAAATAACTATATGACACACGATTGAATGGATTTACTAGAGTAATCCAAAATTCTTTTTGAAAAATTTGGAAACAAAGAGTAACTTTAAACGTCTAAACATAGATTTACGAAAGACATCATCAACATATTCTACGTACATATCAACGAGAATCACTTATCTTTTTCATAAAGGTTATAAGAGAGTTTCCATCAAAAAAGTTATAAGAGAATCACCTTTTTATAGAACAAATAATAATATTGCTTCGTATTCATTAATTCATAATTATTATTTTTGTCTGAATCTATACGATCGGTCATAATCTACTAACTTCGCTAACGAATTTATGTGTTGAATTTCTAAAGTGAGGATTGACAGTTTGTAGAATTTTCCATTAGGCTATGAGAGTAACCACATTGTTGGGTTCTTCAAGTAGGGTTCTTATCTTATCTATTAATTTTATTTTGTTACCTAATTAAAATTTAAATAATAAACAACATTTGACCAATATAATTAAAGCATGTGGCACCAAAAGTTTCTCGGAGATTCTCAAACGAAAAACGGTTTTCACTCTCTCTCCTCTTTACTAATTTTTTTTTTTTTTTAATTATTATAAAAACCTTAGAGAGAAGCTACCACTAAAAATGCTATGAGCCTTTCTTTCTCCATTAATTCATTACTTAAGAAACGAAAAGAGAAATAAACTTGATTCTATTTTCGTATAATGAACCAATAATAAAGAGCTACTAGAGAGAGAAAGAGAGTGGTAGTCAAGTCATATGGGGACCTGAATAAAATGTCTGAAAGTGCCAAAGCAGCATAGACCCACACTCTCTCCATCTTCTTTTCCTCCAACATTTCACATTCCCACATTTACACTTTCTTGTATCTATTATATGCACATTTACTTACATCTATAGTATATCATTTAAGTATGTAATTAATACTGTACATATATACCCTACATAAATAAGCCTAATAGCCAATGATGTAAGTGATAAGCTCTTAGAGTAATTAGAGGGTTCCTAATCAGAGACGTGATCAGGGGAGGATGGAAAAAATCTTCAAAAAGGAAAAAAAAATCAGTTTAATTTTTCCTCGCCTTTAACCCCAAGAACATTGTGAACAATTATATACTTTAGCTTATAAGCTTTTGGTAAAACAGCTGGAGTCTTTTTTTTCATACCAAGTAATTTAATTGGTCAAATGACCACAAATCTATTTATAATCAACAGAATTGTTATCTATTTGACATTTCTAGATATTCTTGTTGTTTTCTCTTCCTCTTTCATGTATTTTTCGAACTGTTTGACATTTATTTGTGATATAGTTCTCTTGGTTTATAAGCTTAACAATAGAAATATATGATCAGAGCCGTAGCTGGATAGAAGCAAGAGAAGCGGGAGCTGCGGCCCTCCGAGAAGTTATTAATATTTTCGGCCCTTAAATACCAATATGTTTTGGTAGCCTAGTAGTATTATGTCATACACCACATATCTTAGGTCATGAGTTCGAATCACCTGATGCGTGAGAGAAGGTTATTTTTTTGTTTTTTGTTTTTTTTTATGGTTAAATTTTTTTATAAGTATACACTTTTTTAGAGCGGCCCTTTTTTTTTTTTTCGCGGGCGGCCCTCATAATCGTTGCTGCGGCTCTGGATATGATCATAGTAAATTACTAATAAGTAACCCAAATATGTTGGCTTGATCAACAAGTACGAAGACAGCTATTACTACAATAACTGAACCAGGGAATCTAATGTCTCTCCTTCTAGTAGGCAAACTAACGTGGCCTTACTTTTTTTTTCCATGTTCGAAATAATACTATTACTTTTTAAATATATATATATACCTTATATATATAATTCCATCTCTTTACTTTTGGCTTTTCATATCACCAATAAGTTACAGAAATAAATGAAACAAACGAAGTGAAATTTTGAGGCAAGAAAAAATATTATTTACAAATATTATTTCTATTTGTAGGTTTTCACTAATTTTATTCGTTTAGTAAACTAATTAAAATAAATAGTTTAGTAAGTAAAGTATGATCTAGGGACGTCTAATTTATAAAAAAGAACTAAACGAAATAAAAACTGAAAATCATTTCATTTTATTTTTTGTATGGTTCTTAAACAAAGATTGAACAACTTTAATCTCTATATTTGAGACTATGATATTCCGCCTTTGCGCATGAGTACTTTATTTATATAAAAATATGGAGAAATTATTTTATATATATATGGAGAAATTTGATATTGAGGTATACATATAAAATGGTAAGACTTTATCTAGACCTAGATTAGGTTAGAATATTATAAATACAAATTCGCATCACCATTAGGAAACGTGGAATATATAATTTGCATTCAGTGGAGCTAAGAAGACAAGTATCATCTTCGACTCCACCATCCCGAATCCAGTTCACATCCAATTCTCTCTTTTACACTATTGTACCAAAATACGAGGGGAGGCCAAAGGATGAGGTTGCACCCTTGACACTTTCAGCGAGCAACCTACTTCATTACGACATATGGTGTCAAACCAAGTAAGACTGACCAAGCATTCAATGGCCAACAACTACTATGCACACCTCTCCATCAAAGGAGACGTTCCAACTATACAAAACATGTCAACCAGTCTTTTGTCGCATGCAGAAGCACGCAGAAAAATAAGAAAGTGAGTGAGGAAAAGATGTTTTTAATTAAAAAAGAAATTAAGTAATTGGGTTTAGTTTGATTTCGTTTCTTGGGTTGCAGTGTTTTCCAATCCTAAAATGAAAAAATAGGCCTAGCTAGGCAAACTCTATTGGGCTTGCACTACAAATAATACTTGGGTTTGTGAGTTTGTCTTTGTCTCTCTGGTTTAGAACCAAAACGGCAAAATCTTAGCTTGAGTTGGGTTTTTTTTTTACCTTTTCTTGGTTTGCTGAATCAAAAAATGGATTACATTGGTCTAAAATCTTAAATGTGTTTCTACATGTTGAATGTGGACTATAAGAAATAACTCTCATGTTAAACCCAACCTCTTGCTCCTCTTTTTAACACTTTTGTATAATGACGCACTTGAACCACTCGATTTAGACGAACCATAGTACACACAATATATGGCCGAAAAATAGCTTCGGTAATGATTGATTCAAATTTCTCCCTGATATATAGATAATGTACTTATATATGTTAAAGTTTGTGGTACTACAACTGGGAGTTATTTATTTTAATTGGGTCGAAAAGATCAAGGCCCTGACCCTAAAGTCCACTAAGATTGGGTTTCAGACATCAACATTCAACAATATATGAATATTTTAGGGCCAACATTGTAGAGAGTTTACTTGGTGTAAATGTCTGTTGCCCTAACTTTCCCAAATTAAAATCTTAGTTTTGGGTAGAATTTGTACTTTCGGTTAGATTTTAGAATTGTTTTAAGTTTATATAGCATTGTTACGAAAGCAACAAGAAAAGAAGTATATTTTTAATTCAATAAACTATTAAGTAGGAGCTACCACGAGATTTGTTTTCCATGCAAAATAATATTCTTTTGATAACAGATTACGGGTTATACCTAGTAATCAATTACGTGATCGTAGAATTGTTTATGTTGGAAAAGTCTTTGACGCTGACAAAAACTCTTAAAATATGTACAAGCAATAATAACTTAGCAATT